ACGGCGCCGTGCTGGCTCGTTGGCAGGATAAAGCGCTGCAGGAATTACTACGAGATCCTGGGCGTGCGGCGGGACGCCGGCGAGGAGGAGCTGAAGAGAGCCTACCGCCGCCTGGCCCTCAAGTTCCACCCCGACAAGAACCGCGCGCCCGGCGCCACCGAGGCCTTCAAAGGTGCGGGCGGCCGCGGGGAGCGAGGGCGGCGCGGGCCGAGGGGCCCGGCACGGGCCCAGGGGCTCCGCGTGGCCCGGCCCGCACCGGCCGCCACGGCCTTGGCACGAGCCCCGCTAACCCTTTCGTGTGCCCGCCATAGCGCCCCGCGGCAGGCGTTGCGCTTCGAAGGCAGGCTTGCGAAAAGCACAGGAAGCTCCGTCTCTGTGTGTGTGTGTGTGTGTGTGTGTGTGTGTGAGCAGGAGCTTCTTCGTTGTGAGGGTGCCCGAGGCCTGGCCCAGGCTGCCCAGGGTGGCTGGGGAGGCTCCTGCATGGGAGATCTTCCCAACCCGCCTGGATGTGACCGGGTGCCCCGTGCTCTGGGTGTCCCTGCTGGAGCAGGGGGCTGGACCGGATCATCCCTAGAGGTCCCTTCCAACCTCAACCCTTCTGGGATGAAAAGCAAAGGGAGAGGCATCCCATGGTTGTTCCTAGATACCACTGCTGCTTCAAAACTGCTTGGAAGTCGCGTCGCCCCTCTGCTGATTGCACAGCAACGTGCTCCCCTAACAACTCTTTACATGCTCCCCTAACAACTCAATTAAAGCAACAAAAAAGTATACAAACCCATGAAGTTTTAATATTCAGGATTTTTCAGGACATTACAGGCTAAGACTCTATTAACAGTGTTAGTGTCTAACCTAGTTACCACGTTTTCTGCCTTCTCCCTGTTGTGTTGCAGCTCCGTGGAGCAGCCTTGCAAGACAGGTCTAGGAGAGCAAGGTCTGGCTTCATTTTGTGTTGGAATAATGACTTTGTGAAGAGTTTGTTGTTGTGTTTCCCTGTGGACTTGCCTATAGCTGCACTCYTTCAAAGGCCAAGGAAGAAGATGAACTGAACAAACTGCTTTTGGGTGGTTTTAGGTTCACTGTAAAATAAAAATGCTAGTAGAGCCTCACGGTCTCTGCTAACAAACTTGGAATATGGTTCTGCATCTTACCCTCTGCAACAATTAACTAGATGTTAGCTATRTGCACTGGAAGGTGAGCTTCTCCTTCTGTGTCGCTAATTAGTTTGATGCAATTAAAAGGTTTGCAGTCTTTTGACAGATTTTTTGAAACGGACTCTCTTGCCTCAATTTTTGAAGCATTTGAACTCCACATAACTGCAACGTTTTGTCTTCTTTGTGGTATCAGTAATAGCAGAAAATTGGTTCCATCATGGCTCGTGTCGGTGTATTAATACTTCTTTTGTAAAGGTAGTTTCCAAAAATACATTGTCAAGTTTTGCTCAAGCACAATTTTTCTCCACTTGTTCGGGCTTCTTGCTATTCTGTTTGTAAAAGAAAACCACAAAACCTGCAGACKTTGCATGATGTGCGTGTATAACTTGCCTCCTATTCTTTCTGCAGCAATAAGCAACGCTTTTGCCGTTCTGAGCAATCCTGAAAAACGGCTGCGCTACGATGAATTTGGAAGTGACCAAGAGAATGTCCACGCTGGCCACGGCCAGGCCAGGCACTATAATTATTACGCAGAATTTGAAGCAGACATCACACCAGAAGAAATATTCAATGTTTTCTTTGGTGGGCACTTTCCGACAGGTTAGTATGTGCCTGTAGTGCTCTTGAAATGTAAAGAGATGGTGCGAAACTTCATTTACAGTTTAGTTCTTCTCTTGATACTGTTCAATACGTTGATTTTTGTCTCTGGAGAGAGCAAAAAAACTATTTGGATTATTCTTCATCTCTAGCTTTTGTGCCTGGAGAATCTCCTTTAGTGCTCAGTTCTGGGTGCTTGAAAGAGCTCAAAAGCCAGGAGTGCTGCTACAAGAAAAAGTTACCGTGGGCTAATAGCTGCTGGGGCAAGTTCCCAGCTTGTTTTTCAGCATCTCTGACAGAACTGGGAAAATGGCAAGGTGTTGCATGATTAATGGCTGCTGGTTTGGATTACAAGGACCTCTGAAAGGTATCCAAGCCTCTTGCTTGCGAGTTTCTTTGTTAGCAGTCTCTGATGACAGGTTGTTTTAGCAGCCTCGCATACTGTTTCACACCTCCCAGGTGTAGCATAAACCAGCATCCTCTAAAACCAGCCTCTAAAAAGTTTTTGCCAACCTCTGAAACTTTAAGCAGAAGATACAGATAATTAGGGTCACCTCAGTCTGTGTGACAGCAGCTTGCTCTGTGTGGGAGCATCTTATAAATTGTTTTAAAAGGGTTGCTGATAAATGTTCAGGATGGGCCAAAGTCAGCCTGACGTTTTCCCTCTAAATGCGAGGTTTCAGCTCCAGATGCTGGTGGCTTTGGCCACCGAGGGGACGTGGCCTCTGGCCATGTCACTGCCAGCAGTGGGAACACTTGAGGCTGAGGGCTGGAAACTGAGGAACTGCAGGGGGAATATGGGAGCTAGGGACAGCGCGTCGAGCAGGTACAACAGCATGAGGAAGTGAGTGGGAATTTTTACCGCTGTGGCAAAGARCAACAAAAAAGAGAATTTCATAGTAATGTATAGTAAGCGGTAGTTCCCTCCTCCGAAAGAGTTTGGTTCTAAATATATGGGCATTTTTCTCACAAAGTGACTTTTTGATTATTGAAAGTCATTTCAGTAGTTCTCTCAGTAGGCAAAGTCCACGTAATTTCTACTTAGCAARAGAATTATTAGTAAGATGATGCCCAGGCTGGAAATATAAAGAGGATTTTTTTTTTTTTTTTCCCAAAAACTTTGGTGTACTCGCACAAAGTCCTCCTTAAGTCCATGTGAAGCTCCAGTGCTGTTGT